AAATAAGAACGAACTAAATGTAAAACTAATAAAAATTCTCACAGTTTCAGAAAATTTGGGAAAAATCTGGAGCTATAATTCCGCTTGTTATTCTTAGATTATAAGCTGTGCACATTTAAAAATATGTAATTATTCATAAACTGTATTATCCTGAACTCAAATAAAATTATCGCAATCTCGAAATGGGGACATATGAGAGCAAACAGTGTTGATAAATACAAACTAGAGACATTTCTGGTCGGTGGCAGTCCTGCCAAGTGCTTTTGTCGGGTGAGTCGCTGCGCTGATAATCCCTACAACAGCTTAAACAAACTTCACAACCATACTTAGAGAGATCACCAAGTGAAGGAGCACTAGCTAAGGCAAATGGGAGAATCGGACAACAAACTACAGCTAATCCAAATATCCAAATTAAGTAACTTGACTTGACTTTTCTTAAGATCCGTTTTTTCATAAAACTTTTCTTAAAATGACTTACTTTCGCCAGGTGTAACTTGCATGAAATCGTCGTTGGTACTCGTGCTTCCAGCGGCCGACGCTCGGTCATCACACTCGGAATGGCCACTCGTCGTTGAAGCAGTCTTCCGGTAACACGACTGCGCCAGGAACTGTTCCCTGAGATCAGGCGGAAGCATTCTCGCGATCCTTTCTTCCATTTCTCGGCTCGATTCCATCTTCGCACGATTGATTTCCTCTTCCACATCGATTACACGCAACGTCCCACCACTGAACGAAATTTGTGAACTGTGACGAGAAAATCACGACGTAGGCTCATTTTAAGGCCCACTATCTAACAGCAACATTCATTTGATTCGTTGAGGTTTCAGTGCAAACCTGCTTTCCTACAGTCCTGAAGCAGAACTCATGCAACTGACTCCTCTTTCAGCAACAGTAATAATGACCACAGAACGGTACCATTACAAAAATCGGGCATGATCCCTCCCTCCCCCCAGCTCCTCCCTCGTTAAGCTTATACATAATTCGTAAGTGCCAAGGGAATAATAAAATAATTTTTACCGAAGCCG